TTGAACTAGAGTATTAAGAGACAGGCATGCCGCTGCCCTGACTGGGTGGCTCAGTTGATTGTTCTCCTGTACACCAAAAGGTTGCGGATTCAGTTCCCAGTCAGGGCACCTACCTAGGTTGTGGATTTGATCCCCAGTCGGGGTGTGTGCAGGAGGCAACCGATGGATGTTTCTCTCTAACATCAATGTTTCTCTCTCTCTCTCTCCTCCTCCTGCCCCCTACGCTTCCCCTCCTCTTTTCCCCTTACCTCTCTCCCTCTCTCCTCCCTCCCTCTCTCTTTTCCTTCCTTTCTCTAAAATCAATTTAAAATACACACACACACACAAGGGAGAGGGATAGAGAGTTAGAAACATCGATGAGAGAGATCGATCAGCTGCCTCCTGCACGCCCCCCAGTGGGGATGTGCCCACAACCAAGGTACATGCCCTTGACCGGAATCGAACCTGGGACCCTTCAGTCCGCAGGCCGACGCTCTATCCACCAAGCCAAACCGGTTCGGCTCCCTCCCTCTCTCTTTTCCTTCCTTTCTCTAAAATCAATTTAAAATACACACACACACACACACACACACACACACACACACACAGCATATCTTCTGGTGAGGATTAAAAAAAAAATGCAAGTATGCTTGGTTTATTTTTCATTGAAGGTATCTTTTGTATTATTTTATGGTCCCACTCGTGGCCTGGTGCATGGATTCATGCACATTGAAAGGAAATTAATTAGGAGAAATTTTAATATCGCTATTCGCCCTTTCTCTATAATAGAAGTGTCAACCAAATTCATGATTGACAATGACAGATCGAAACACATGCGTGCGATTGGCGCCAGTGAGAGCTTTTATGTATCTCACATGCACAAGTCAACTTAGCCTTTTATCTATAACTAGAGGCCCGAAGTACGAAATTTGTGCAAGGGGCTCGGCCCTCACAGCTGTGGTGGCTTGTCTCGGCCCTCGCCCCGGCTTCATCCAGAAGTACGTTTGGCTATGACACTCTTCCAGATGACCTTCCGGATGAAGCCGGGTCTGCGGAGGAAGTCCGGGTCCCGGGTGCCAGAGGGAAGCTGGTGCTGGCAGCCGGGGAAAGGAAGGCCTACTCTTGCATGAATTTCATGCATCAGGCCTCTAGTATATATAGAATAAACTTGCTTAATTAGACCTGTTTTAGCTAAACTTTTTCCAGCCCAGTGAAGCACCCCAACTTATCTTTCAGGTAATTGTCAGCAACACAGCAGTAAATATCAACATGAAGCAGATTATTATTGTAGATCATGCAGGGAGAGCAAACGGTAAACTATTTAACTGCAGCAGCGTTTGACTATATTCTGCACAATGAGAAACCGGAAGTCATTTTCAAGGTCCACCATTTCTTACTTCTTTTCAGTCGGGTCAAGTTTCTAAACTTTCTAAATCTCCGTTTTCTGGCTAATGAAAAGAAAATAGGTTTCCACCAAGTCTCCTATCTACCTACTCCAGGACTTCTGTGAGGATCAAATGAGATGAGGCATGGGAAAATGCTTCACAGACTTTTGGTTAAAGGGTGAAATGTTTGCACCTGGCTATAAAGCAAGTCATATTCCTGGGCTGAAGAAACTGCAAGGAGGCTAGTCGTTGCTAGGGAGAGGAAGCCGGGCGTTGCTACGTGATGTCATTACCCAGATGGACACTTAGCATATTAGCCTTTTATATGTATAGATTTTTTTTCCTGCAGTGCATTTTAGAAGTATGATATGAGCAAATAAATTTCTATTTGTGTCTTGGTTTTTGAAGTAAAGTTCTTTTTGAGATTAAGATGAAACATAACAAAGTTAAAATGGTATGTACTAGTTAAGAGGTTAGACTGATTTGTGATATGTATACATTATAGAAAGTTGGAAAAGAACATTTTTTAACCCTAGTGTTCACATACTAGAACTCAATAAACCTTATATTATCTTTTAGAAAACCTGCTTTAATGAACAGGTAAGAATAATTTACATTTAGTATATTAAAGCATTAACCTAAGCAATTGGTGTTTCAGCAGAGATTATGAGTTAACTGTAAATTGATAGTAAAATGCCTTGGAGATATACTTAACACTATTTGGTTGCTTAGTACTTTTTTTTTTAATAGTGTAACTTCCTTTGGGCCTCTATTTACTTACCTTTAAAATAGGTAGGGTGAATCAGATTGTTGTTTCTTAAGCTTTAATGTGCATGCAGATCTCCTGGGTATCTTATTAAAATACAGATTCTGATTTAGTAGGTCTGGAATTTTGGCCTGAGAATCTGCAGTTTCAACACGCTCACTGATGAAGTTGATTCCTGTAGTTCACAGAACATGCTTTGAGTAGGAAGGGCTTGATGGTTTCTATTGCTTTATGTTCAACATAGAATTTAGCAAAATCTTGCTAATTCAGTTGTAACATAAACTCATAATGAGACAAAAGATAACATGAAAGTTAAAGCTTTTGGGTTGAAAAGGAACAGTAATCTGTTTAAACCAGCACAAATAAAAAGGGAAGTTGGCCCTGGCTGGTTTGGCTCAATGGATAGAGCGTTGGCCTGTGGATCAAAGAGTCCCGGGTTCGATTCTGGTCAAGGCATGTATCTTGGTTGCAGGCTCCTCTCTGGCCTGGGCCCTGTTCAGGGTAGGAAGCAACCAATCGATGGTTTCTCTCACATCGATATTTCTCTCTGTCTTCCCCTCTCTCTTCCACTCTCTCTAAAAAGCAATGGAAAAATATTCTTGGGTGAGGATGTAAGTAAGTAAATAAATAAATAAGGAAGTTGTTCTAAGAATATAAGAGACAATCTCACTGGTATCTATGAGCAAGAAATAATTTAGCCAGGTTTCAAGTGAAGTGGAAAGTTAAAAATCCAGTAGCTGATCTATATCTCCCATTTCTGCTCTTTGGATTTCTTTTCCAATCTCCCCTCTTATGTTTTCTGTTACATGTCTTTGGCTTGCCATGTTATTGACTGTGGCCTATATTGTTTGACTTCTCAGCCTCAAGACCTTGACAGCAGTATCTTTTTTTCTTAGTTTAGAATTCAGCGGTTCTCAACCTGTGGGTCGCGACCCCTTTAAATACATCCTGCATATCAGATATTTACATTATGATTCATAACAGTAGCAAAATTACAGTTATGAAGTAGCAACGAAAATAATTTTATGGTTGGAGGTCACCACAACATGAGGAACTGTATTAAAGGGTCACGGCATTAGGAAGGTTGAGAACCACTGGTTTAGATGCTTAGGAATGAATTGTTTCTACTTGTCAGGTGTCCAACCTTGATTGAGCTAGCCTTCTATGTTTGGGATCACATGGTAAGAATAGGGCCAATGAGATTAGCCTCTTTGGAGAGGGGGGTGGACATGGGAAAGGTGCTTGTTGCCAGAGAAGGGGAGTCTTACTAGAGCAGGCAATAACATTTGCCTGATACACCTTTATAAATTTTCATGAAGAATGATTTGCTAAATTGAATCGAGTAAAAGCATACTTCATAAAAGCATGAATAAAAGTTATATAGACAGTGATTGGGTGGGGCATAGTGGTAAATCCATTCTCAGAGAACTGAAAGTAATAAATCCTAATTATAGTATACATATATTTTTTAAATCTCATGAATGTTATCAGTATATACATGGAATAATGTATCTGCCTCTTCCCCAGTGAGTACTATTAAGGTGTACTATTGACTGCTTCCAGGGAAAAACAGCCTGCTCATTCTTCTGCTTATTGTTTCCTGGATCTCATTTCATACTTTTATCTTGCATAAAATTTTAAAGGTAACATTAAGATTAACTTGTGAGGGAATGCAAACAAATTGTCCCATTCTTGGTATCGCAGATAGAGCCACCCAGATACATTTGAGGTTCAACTATATTCTGAAGCCTTTGGTGTAGAGAGAAACATTAACCAGTTGCATTAGCACAGCAGTTTTCATTTGGTGTGCCATGGCAGTGCTGCAAGAATTTTTAAAACATGCCATACCTGACTATCTAGTCAGGGGCACTGACCTATTTTCCCTTAGATTGTTAAATAAAATAAAAAAATGACAACAGTCAACATAATAGCTGTCTGGTATGAATGAATCAAAATTATACTTAATTTTTTGTCAGTGCCACAGAATTTTAGTAATTCATTAAGGTGTGCCATGAGATTAAAAAAGTTGAAAATCACTGCATTAGCAAAATCTCTAGGTTTTTATGACAGTTGACGTAATTGCCAGAGTACCTCATTTTTCCTAAGAGGCTATTTTGCCTATGCTGTCACCTCCCATTATTTATATATGTAAAAGGCTAATATGCAAAGTGTCCCCTCGAGTTCAACCAGACCAGGAGTTTGATTGCTCGCTATGACATGTGCTGACCACAAGGGGGCAGTGTGGAATGAAGGAAAGCCCTGGCCGGCATCCAGAAGGCCCCGATAGGCCCTGATCGCTGGGCCAGGCCTGGGGACCCTACCTGTGCATGAATTTCATGCACCGGGCCTCTGGTAGATAATAAAATTGAAAGTCAGTGATAGCACTTAGAGCAATACCTATTTTCCCCCTTTGGCTTATCAACAAACCAGTGCTACAAATTCTGGTGTTTTGTTTTTGTTTTTTTTTGATTTTTTATGCTTCTAAAACGGATATAGGCCAGACCTGGCTGGAGTGGCTCAGTTGGTTGGGTATCGTCCCTTGCACCAAAAGATTGCCAATCTGATTCCTGGCCAGGGCACATGCCCGTGTTGTGGGCTGCCAATTGATGTTTCTCTCTATCCCTCTCTCCCCCTTCCCATCTCTAATATCAGTAAAAACATATTTTAAAAATAAATAAATAAAAATAAAATAAAATGGATATAGGCAGAAAAGTACTATGCCTGGTTAATAACTGTACCTAAATTTAATGTTACAGGTTTTTTTGGGGGGCAAAAGTGTGAACAGCTTTTTGGGAGTAAAGCCTTTAAGGAAATTATTTGCTGGTTTGGAATACTGTCTTCCTTTATATTTATTATAATTATAACATCTTTTTTTATTTATTTGTTTCAGAAAAAGCCTGTGTAGAAGCTGGGTCAGCAAGAATGTCACTTCTTATATTGGTGTCCATTTTCTTATCTGCGGCTTTCGTTATGTTTTTGGTATATAAAAACTTTCCTCAGCTTAGTGAGTAAGTATACTGAAAGAAACTGAAAATATCTAGACATCTGTAGATTAAAAGTTAAACTAATTTTAAGCAACAGCACTGTCATGGTGATTGTATATTAGCTCTCACGGATTGTGACAAGTTCATATTGATATTGACACTGTTATTTAAATACTTCTTGCCCTGGCTGGTAAGAGTTGGTTGAGCGTTGTCCCATGTACCAAAAGGTTGGTGGTTCGATTCTTGGTCAGGGCACATGCCCTGGTTGTGGGCTTGATCTTCAGTAGGGGGCATGTAGGAAGCAATGGGTAGATGTTTCTTTCTCATCAATGTTTCTCTCTCTAAAATCAATTAAAACCTATTTTTAAAAAATTACTTCTGCCCTAGCTGGTTTGGCTGAATGAATAAAGCATCAGCCTGCAGACTGAAGGGTCCCAAGTTCGATTCTGGCCAAGGGCACATGCCTGGGTTGCAGGCATCATCTCCAGTAGGGGGCGTGCAGGAGGCAGCCAATCAATGATTCTCTCTCATCATTAATGTTTCTATCTCTCCTTCTCCCTTCCTCTCTAAAAAAAAAAATCAATAAAATATATATTTTTAAAAAAATTACTTCTGTCCAAATATACCTCTTGATTTTCTATGAAAGATTTTTCTAGCACTGCTCCTCTAATTAAGGTCTAATGTTTTTAATGATCTTGCATATATGTATGTGCTTATTTACCTCCTTCTCCTCTTCTCCCTTCACTTGCATACATATATACATATAAAACTAACTTAAAGTTTTGTGAAACAAGTGGTGGTTTCTGATATTTTCTAAACTATTTGGTTTATTGCATTTTATTTTTTAATGATAATAGTGATCAAGTAAGTTTATTTTACAGTCTATAATAGATATTGACCTTATTTTGTAAAATAGTGATGATCTTCTCTGCTTTCCCCTTTTTATCCATCCCTGTTTTCTCCCTTCTTACTTTTCTTTATGACCAAATTTTGTCTTCTGTTTACTCGTTTCCTCATCCATTAGTTCTGTGTCTCCCGGCACTTTTTCTTTTCCCTGTTTTATGGAAATAATATGGTCTCAATATGTACTTTTCACAGTGAAATGGACCTTGCAAAAGAATACTGAAATGTAGTTAGACTTTCAACCAGGGCCAGCCTGGTGTGGTAACAGATAACTGAAATGTGATTTCATAGTACCAGGAAGTTACTGTTTCCTCTAAATTCCTCACTAACAATTTCTTATGCTTGAAAATGTATAGTTAAACTTATATATATTTTAATACTTTGATTTCTTGAAATGCCTTTGGGAAGAGAGCATGTATTATGTTAATACTAGTATGATTGAATTTTAGATTCTGTCTGGTTTTGATCAGAGATTAGGAAATAGAGAACTGATTGAAAGAGGGAAATAGAGTATAGATTAAGGTTGTCTTTGTTTTCACTCTGCTTTAAGAATATTACATGTATATAATATGTTATTATAAACCTGTTGTTCTGCTTATTTCTTTCTATGTGTTATGTGTGTGTATAAGCATGCATGTGGCAGTGTTTAAATTTATAGTGAGAAAACCCATTTTAGTTTACCTGCTATTTTTCCTTTTTTATTTTTATTTCAGAGAGAGGAAGGGAGAGGGAGAGAGGGGTAGAAACATCAATGATGAGAGATAATCATTGACTGGGTGTTTCCTGCACACCTGCTACTGGGGATGAGCCTGCAACCTGGTCATGTGCCTTGCCCGGGAATCAAACCGAACTGTGACCTCCTGGTTTATGGGTCGACACTCAACCACTGAGCCACATCAGCTGGGCATTTACCTGCTTTTTAAAAATATATATATTTTATTGTTTGTTTTGTTTTTTACAGATAGGAAGGGAGAGGGATAGAGAGTTAGGAACATCTATGAGAGAGAAACATCAATCAGCTGCCTCCTGCACACCCCCTACTGGGTATGTGCCCGCAAAGAAGGTACATGCCCTTGACCGAATCAACCTTGGACCCTTCAGTCGGCAGGCCGACACTCTATCCACTGAGCCAAACCGCTTAGGGCTTACCTGCTATTTTTATAGGACTTAAGCAGTACTCCATCATTGTTCTGCAAGGTCAGTTACATTTTATCATGTAAACAAATGGGCACAATATACACTAAATGCAAAGGTGATTATTTGAGGCTTTTATAAGCAAGAAATTATTCAGTTCCAAGCAAGAAACCAAATATAAAGTAAAATTAATAGAAAGGGGGAAAATGTTAAAGTTATTTGAAATTTATTTTCTAATTATAGTTGACATACAATGTTATGTTAGTTTCAGGTGTATAACAGAAAATGTTTTAAGTTTTCTGGATTCTGAGCTGGAATATTTCAGAAAGGGTACAGATTATAAATTTAATAAAATGCTTACTTAATTTCAGTTGTAATTGATTATTGACTTTAGCTTATCGTGAGGATTACCCAAAATGATGTTAAATGTGTTTTAAATATTGCTAACATCAGTGGTTTATTTCTTAATTCAAAATTTATACCAAAGTTGGAACAAATGCTTTAAAAAACCCATATAGTTTGGGTCACTTTGAACTTTCATATATAGAGCACATGTCTCATATTAATTATATTAAAGCATTAACAAATGTATGGACTTTTAAAGTTAAAATTTATGAATTTATGCTTAATATAGATCAAGGCATCATTTTGGATAAAACTTCATGTTTTGAAGTTGACTGACTGTAATGTTAATTATCTTAGCAAATTTCTGCTTTAAAATTTTTCACTTTGATTTTGTTTTTTTAGAGAAGAAAGAGTGAATATGAAGGTTCCCAGAGATATGGATGATGCCAAGGCTCTAGGGAAAGTTTTATCCAAATATAAGGACACCTTTTATGTACAAGTACTTGTAGCTTACTTTGCTACATATATTTTGTATCCTTTTAACTGAAAAATGTCTTCTAGTTTTGTTCAAGAGAATGGTTTTTTTAAAAATCTGCTGCTCCGTGATACATAACTATTTTTTCTTTTAAAAATTATTAATGCAATATAACAATATTAAATAGAATATTGAAAAATTAAAATGCAAAAATTTCCCACTTTAATCCTATCTCTTCAACTCAATTACTATTTTTGGATATTATGTTTTATTATATTCTGCTTATTTCACTTATTATAAATATTTTCCTTCCCTCTGTATTATTTGAGATAATTATTTTATTTATGATTATTTGTTGTCTTAATTTAATTTAAATAATAATTTTGAATTAGTGGTCACCATACCATAATTTTAAAACATTCTCTTAGGTTTGAAGATATAATTTGTGTTTAATTTTTTTTTAGATTTTGTGTTATGAATCTTTTTGTGTGTGATATTTTTTCTTCCATTTAATGGTTTTCTTTGTCAAAAAAAATTCTAAAAGGATAATTATTCAAAGGATATGGATTTTTAAAAATAGTACTTAGTATTTATTTCTTTGTTTTATAGACATATATGTTATATTTTTAACTAGTCAGGAAAATAACTTTATTCTTTCTAAATATTTTCAAGTTGCTTAGGCTACTAGTGATTAATCTTCTTTTTATTAAATCTTTATTGTTGAAAGTATTACATATGTCCCCTTTTTTCCCCCATAAGCCCCTTCTAGCCCACCCTGCCCCCTGTCCCAGGCCTTCACCACCTTATTGTCTGTGTCCATGGATTATGCATATGTGTATACAAGTTCTTTGGTTGATCTCTTCCCACCTACCTACCCTCTCCCACTTCCCTCTGAGATTCTGCAATCTGTTCTATGCTTCTATGTCTCTGGGTCTTTTTTGTTTATCAGTTTATTTTGTTAATTAGATTCCACATATGAGTGAGATCATGTGATAATTGTCTTTCTCTGACGGGCTTATTTTGCTAAGCATAATACTCTCCAGGTCCCTCCATGCTGTCTCAAAGGGTAAGAGAGCTTTCTTTTTTTACTGCTGCATGAAATAGTGTAAATGTACCACAGCTTTTTTATCCACTCATGTACTGATGGGCACTTGGGCTGTTTCCAAATCTTAGCTATTGTAAATTGTGCTGCTATGAACATAGGGGTGCATACATTCTTTCTGATTGGTATTTCGGGTTTCTTAGGACAAATTCCTAGAAAGTGTCTATTAAGACCCTTTGCCCATATTTTAATTGGATTGTTTATCTAACTTTTGTTAAGTTGTATGAGTTCCTTATATATTTTGGATAGTAACCCTTTATCAGATGTATCATTGCTAAATATGTTCTCCCATACAGTGGGCTCCCTTTTCATTTTGTTGATGGTTTCTTTTTTTTTAATAATTTTTTTTATTGCTTAAATTATTACAAAGAGATGTCTCCTTTTTTCCCCCCCTGCCCTTGATAATCCCCTGGCCTCCCCTACCCCCCAGTGTCTTATGTCCATTGGTTATGCTTATATGCATGCATACAAGTCCTTTGGTTGATCTCTTACCCTCCCCTCCTGCCCCCCCACCCTCCCCGGCCTTCCTGCTGTAGTTTGACAGTCTGTTCGAGGCAACTCTGCCTCTGTATCTATTATTGTTCAAAAGTTTATAATGGTCTCTATTATCCATGAATGAGTGAGATCATGTGGTATTTTTCCTTCATTGACTGGCTTATTTCACTTAGTATAATGCTCTCCAGTTCCATGTTGATGGTTTCTTTTGCTATGCAGAAGCTTTTTATTTTGATGTAGTCACATTTGTTTATTTTCTCCTTAATTTCCTTTGCCCTAGGCAGTGGTCGGCAAACTGCGGCTCGCAAGCCACATGCGGCTCTTTGGCCCCTTGAGTGTGGCTCTTCCACAAAATACCGACTTCTGCGCATGGGCCACGAAGTTTTAATCGCACTGTACATGCGCGCCCACACATGGTATTTTGTGGAAGAGCCACACTCAAGGGGCCAAAGAGCCACAGTTTGCCGACCACTGCCCTAGGAGATGCACCCATAAACATTGCAATGAATGAGGTCTGAGATTTTGCTGCCTATGGTTTCTTCTAGGATTTTTATGGTTTCACGACTTACATTTAAGTCTTTTATCCATTTTGAGTTTATTCTTGTCTATGGTGTAAATTGGTGGTCTAGTTTCATTTTTTTTGTATGTATCTGCCCAATTTTCTCAACACCATTTATTGAAGAGATTGTCTTGACTCTGTTGTATGTTCTTGCCTCCTTTGTCAAATATTAATTGGCTTGGGTCGATTTCTGGGGTCTCTGTTCTATTCCACTGATCTATATACCTGTTCTTGTGCCAGGATCAGGCTCTTTTGATTACAGTGGCTTTGTAGTATAACTTGATATCTTTTATCGTGATTCCTCCAACTTTGTTCTTCTTTCTGAAGATTGCTGCAGCTATTCAGGGTCTTTTTTGGTTCCATATAAATTTTTGGAGTATTTGTTCTAGATCTGTGAAATATGCTGTTGGTATTTTAATAGGGATTGCATTGAATCTATAGATTGTTTTGGGTAGTATGGACATTTTAATGATGTTAATTCTACCAATCCATGAACACTGTATATTCTTCCACTTGTTTATATCTTCCTCTATCTTTTTTTCAATATCCTATAGTTTTCTGAGTACAAGTCTTTTACCTACTTGGTTAAGTTTATTCCTCAATATCTTAATATGTTGTTGTAGTGGTAAATGGGTTGTTTATTTAGTTTCTCTTTCTGAGAATTCATTATTGGTGTATAAAATTGCCACCGATTTCTGAATGTTAATTTTGTATCCTGCCACGTTGCCAAACCCCTTTATTAAATCTAGTAGTTTTTTGATGGAGTCTTTAGGGTTTGCTATGTATAATATCATATCATTTGCAAATAATACTACATATTGGATTACATATTATACATATAAAATATATGTCTTAGTAACAAATACATTTACAAAAGCTTTTGCTGCTAAGGCAAACATTGCTTACTTAGTGTGCTTTGTGTAGGCCCTTTGTCATTATCTTTCCTATTTATCAGTGTAAGAGAAAAGAAATACCAATCTAAACAGAGCTAGAAAGTTAAGCTCGAATGACATTCCCATGCAGAGAGAATGGCTTTATTAATACTACAAGATAAAGGACAGGGACATATTAAACCATTCTAAGAGATACAATAGGCAAAATTTAAAAGGTGGTTAATTCTACAAATGACTGGTTTCTTCAACAAATACATTGGAAGAAGGAAAAATGGAAGCTATACTTAAGTGATAAAGTAAGCAATACCATGTTTGAGCATTTTTTTAAATACTGATTTAATCAAACTAGCTGTAAAAGAAAAAAATTATGAGGTCTTTGGGAAATCTGAATACAGACTAAATAGATATTCAGGATAGTAAGGAATTATACTAAGAAATCTCTGGAAGTCTGACAGCGGTATTATAGTTATGGTAAAAAGAGAAGGAATCCTTATCCTTTTAAAGTATTAAAGTAGTTGCACATGAATTGATATGTCTCGGATTTTCTTCAAAATAATCCAGTGTAAGGGAAAAAGACAAATTAAGATTGGTTGAGTGTTAATTGTTGAATCTGTGCATAGGTATATAGGGCATCATCATACTAATTTCTACACTTTCATATGTTTGAAACTTTTCCATCAGGTTCTAAAGAACCCTGTAATAAATAAATTGATAAAATTTATTTTTAATGGAGGCATCCAGTTGATAGAAAATTTGAGACTTGTGTTTGATTAGCAAGATTGAATCAAGATAGAGAATTCAGAGTTATCAACATATATGGCCATATACTTGAAACCATGCAAATCGCTGAATTTATTGAAGGAAAGGGAGAGAAGAGTATGGTCAACAGAATGGTAGGAAAACCTTAAGAGTTGAGGGTGAGAAGAAGAAAAAAGCTAGAGATGTAATGATCTGTAATGTAGAAGAAAAGTGCTTTGTTTTTTTAAATGAGAGAGGATGTTTAATTCTATGCAGGAATTGCTAAAAAATGAGAAAAGTCATTTATTTTGTCCAGGAGGAAGTTTCAGTGGAGTGGTGGATGGGTAAGCCAGGTTGTAAGGGAAGAGGAGAGAATGTCTTGCAAGGAAGAAAGATGAGAGGCAGTAATTGGGTAGGATAACCTTGGTCAAGGAAAGCCTAGATTTTCTTTATAGGCATCTGAGTGGTTTTAAACAGGACAGCTCCAGTGGAAGAACAAGAGGTTTAAGAAACACATGAGGAGGAAGAAGATTCAAATGAAAACATGAGTAAAGTGGAAACTAGAGAAAGATGGAGAAGGAGACTTTATGGATGAAGACAGAAATTTTCAAGTAGGAAGGAGAGATGTTGAGGGAGATCACTCAGTTTGACTGACCTTGTAAGTAAATCATGTGAGGGCTTAAAAAGGGGTCCAAGCCCAAACTGGCAACTAAAGGAAAAAACATAATTGTTTTTAAAATAAGATTTGTGACTTTTATTACATTTTGTAACCCTTATCTTTTTTCTAGATTAATGAATTTAGGCAAACGTGTATAAGTTAAATTACAAATAAGGAATTATTATACCTTATATGTACCTAGATTTCCACAGAAATCATATTTCCTGAAAATATTTTGGAGTAAGTGCAGTGCATTAGAGAAGCATATTTACAAGATTACTGGACACTGGGGCAGTGGGGGCTTGCCCGGGGGGTGGGAATGCCTGGGCGGGAGGGGTGTCAATTGGGGAAAAAGGAGACATATGTAAAACTTTAGACAATTAAAAAAAATAAAAATAATGAACAAAAAAAAGGTTACTGGAGACCTCTTTTGTTCTTTTTTCTTTTCCTCCTCTTTTTTTGTTTGTTTTTTTGCCAATGCCTGATTCCTGGCTTGTATTAGTGAACTTCGAGATAAAAGCATTACAACTGAGAAGTCATATATTTTTTAAACTTTTGGATATAATTTTACTTTATTTTTAATACTGAAATGTGGATGTAATCTTATTAAC